TTATACTGGTCTATACTGGTTTCTATGTATTTTTATGTATTTTTATGGGGTTTTTTCAGCCCATACTGGTTTGTACTGGTCCCTACTGGTCCATATTGGTTTATACTGGTTTTTATGGATTTTTACGGATTTTTTTTGTTTATATTGGTCCATACTGGTCCATACTGGTTTATACTGGTTTATACTGGTTTATACTGGTTTATACTGGTTTATACTGGTCTATACTGGTTTATACTGGTCTATACTGGTTTATACTGGTTTATACTGGTTTATACTGGTTTATACTGGTCTATACTGGTCTATACTGGTTTCTATAAGGTTTTAAGAATTTTTACGGGGTTTTTTCTGTTTTTACTGGTTTATACTGGTCTATACTGGTTTCTCTGTATTTTTATAGATTTTTTCGGGTTTTTTTTTGTTTTTACTGGTTTATACTGGTTTGTACTGGTTTTACCTGAGATCTTTGATGCTGAGGGTGCCTCTGAAGTCCCTGAGGATCTCGAGGAGCACCCAGGACTCACTGGTTTATACTGGTCCATACTGGTCTATACTGGTTTATACTGGTTTATACTGGTTTCTATAAAGTTTTACGGATTTTTTTGGGGTTTTTTTTGTCCATACTGGTTTATACTGGTCCATACTGGTCCTACCTGAGGTCTTTGATGCTGAGGGTCCCCCTGAAGTCCCTGAGGATCTCGAGGAGCACCCAGGACTCACTGGTCCATACTGGTCTATACTGGTTTATACTGGTTTGCACTGGTTCCTATACAGTTTTACGGATTTTTTACGGGTTTTTTTTTGTTTTTACTGGTCCATACTGGTCCATACTGGTCTATACTGGTTTTTATGTATTTTTACGGATTTTTACGGGGTTTTTGGGGGTTTTTACTGTTTTATACTGGTCCGTACTGGTCCATACTGGTTTAAACTAGTTTTTATGGATTTTTACACTTTTTTTTTTGTTTATATTGGTCCATACTGGTTTATACTGGTCCATACCGGTCTACACTGGTTTCTATAAGGTTTTATGGATTTTTTCGGGGTTTTTTTTGTTCATACTGGTCTATACTGGTTTATACTGGTTTGAACTGGTTTATACTGGTCTATACTGGTTCCTATACAGTTTTACGGATTTTTACGGGGTTTTTTTTGTCCATACTGGCCCATACTGGTTTATACTGGTTTATACTGGTTTATACTGGTTTGCACTGGTTCCTATACAGTTTTACGGATTTTTTACGGGGTTTTTTTTGTTCATACTGGCCCATACTGGTTTATACTGGTCTATACTGGTTTCTATGTATTTTTATGTATTTTTATGGGGTTTTTTCAGCCCATACTGGTTTGTACTGGTCCCTACTGGTCCATACTGGTCTATACTGGTTTCTATGTATTTTAATGGATTTTTTCGGGGTTTTTTTTGTTTATACTGGTTTATACTGGTTTGTACTGGTTTATACTGGTCCTACCTGAGGTCTTTGATGCTGAGGGTCCCTCTGAAGTCCCTGAGGATCTCCAGGAGCACCCAGGACTCACTGGTTTATACTGGTCTATACTGGTTTATACTGGTCTGTACTGGTTTCTATGTATTTTAACGGATTTTTATGGGGTTTTTTTTGTTTTTACCGGTTTGTACTGGTCCATACTGGTTTATACTGGTTTTACCTGAGGTCTTTGATGCTGAGGGTCCCTCTGAAGTCCCTGAGGATCTCCAGGAGCACCCAGGACCAGTAACTGCGGTAGCTGAGCTTGCCCAGGTCCGACAGCGGCTTCTCCGGGGAGCCCACGGTGCTCTCCAGCTTGGACAGTTCATAACCTGGAAAAAAATATCCTAAAATTAACCAAAACCACCCCAAATTCACCCCAAAATTATCCTGAAAATATCCTGAAATTATCCTGAAATTATCCCAAAATTATCCCCAAAAATATCCCAAATTCGCCCCAAAATTATCCCGAAATTATCCTGAAATTATCCCAAAATTACTCCAAAATTATCCTAAAAATATCCTGAAATTATTCTGAAATTATCTCGAAATTATCCTGAAATTATCCCAAAAAATATCCCGAAATTATCCCATAAATCACACGGTGCTCTCCAGTTTGGACAGTTCATAACCTGAAAAATTTACCCAAAATTAACCAAAATTACCCCAAAAATATCCTGAAATTATCCCGAAATTATCCCGAAATTATCCCAAAATTATCCCAAAATTATCCCAAAAAATATCCCAAAATTATCCCATAAATTACACGGTGCTCTCCAGTTTGGACAGTTCATAACCTGGAAAAAATTATCCTAAAATTACCCAAAAACACCCCAAAATAACCCCAGAATTATCCTAAAAATATCCCAAAAATATCCTGAAATTATCCCGAAATTATCCCAAAATTCACCCAAAAATTATCCCAAAATTACCCCAAAATTGTCCCAAATTTACCCCAAAATGATCCCAAATTTCTCCCAATTTTTTCCCCAAATTTTTGGAATTTCTCCCAATTTTTTCCCCCAATTTTTTCAGGGTTTTCCGCCAAATTTTTGGAATTTCTCCCAAATTTTTCCCCAAATTTTTTGGGGTTTTCTCCCAAATTTTTGGAATTTCTCCCAAATTTTTCCCCTGAATTTTCCGAATTTCTCCCAAATTTTTTCCCCAAATTTTTCAGTTTTCCCCCAAATTTTTCAGTTTTCCCCCAAATTTTTGGAATTTCTCCCAATTTTTTCCCCAAATTCTTGGAATTTCTCCCAATTTTTCCACCAAAATTTTCAGAATTTTCTCCCAAATTTTCGGAATTTCTCCCAAATTTTTCCCCCAAATTTCTGGAATTTCCTCCAATTTTTTTCCCAGATTTTTCAGGATTTTCCCCAAATCCCGAATTTTCGGGATTTCACCCCAAATTCCCCAATTTTGGCTCTCACTGAAGGCGATCAGGAATTTTCCGTAACCGCGCCGTTGGTACGGGGGGAGGGTCAGGATACAGGCGACGTTGTTTCCATCTGGAGACTCCTTTTCCTGCAAAAAATGGGAATTTTGGGAAAATTTGGGAATTTTTGGAAAATTCGGGAATTTTGGGATGTTTAGGGTTCAGGATATTTGAGATTTTTGGGAATTTTTGGGGATTTTTTTGGATTTTTTGGGGATTTTTTTGGATATTTGGAGGTTAAAGGCCACGTTATTTCCATCTGGGGACTCCTTTTCCTGCAAAAAACGGGAATTTTGGGAAAATTTGGGAATTTTGGGAATTTTAGGATGTTTAGGGTTCAGGATATTTGAGAATATTTGGGATTTTTTTGGATTTTTTTGGGATTATTTTTTATTTTTTGCGATATTTGGAGGATTCAGGCGACATTATTCCCATCCAGGGATTCTTTTTCCTGCAAAAAACGGGAATTTTGGGAAAATCTGGGAATTTTGGAAAAATTTGGGAAAAATTGGGAAAATTCAGGAAAAAAACAGGGAAAATTCAGGGAAAATTCGGGAAAAATTCAGGGGAAATTTGGGAAAAATTCGGGAAAATTTGTGAAAATTCAGGGAGAATTTTGGAAAAATTGGGAAAATCAGGGAATGGTGTCCCCAGTTGTCCCCAGGTGTATTTTGGATGTATTTTGGATGTATTTTTGGGTGTCTTTTTGCTGTATTTTTTCTATATTTTTTGCTGTATTTTGGTGTATTTTTGGTGTATTTTTTGGTGTGGTTTTGGTGTATTTTTGGTGTATTTTGCTGTAGTTTTTGCTGTATTTTGGGTGTATTTTTGCTGTACTTTTTGGTGTATTTTTGCTGTATTTTTTTCAGTATTTTTGGTGTATTTTTGGTGTGGGTTTTTGTGTATTTTTGGTGTATTTTTGGTGTTTTTAATCTCTCACCTTGGAGAAATACCCCACGATGTGGGCCCCGTGCTGATCCACCCCAGTGAGCAGCTGAGGCTGTGTTTGGGTGTATTTTGGGTGTATTTTTGGTGTTTTTTTTTCTGAATTTTTTGCTGTATTTTTGCTGCATTTTTTGCTATATTTTGGGTGTATTTTGGTGCATTTTTAATCTCTCACCTTGGAGAAATACCCCACGATGTGTGCTCCGTGCCGATCCACCTCGGTCAGGAGATAAAACACGAAGGGCTCCACGTCGAAATAAAGAGTTTTGTGATCCAGGAACAGCTTGGCCAAAAGGCAAAGGTTCTGGCAGTAAATCTGGGGGGGTTGGGGACACACCTGAGCTCACCTGGGAGCCCCAAAATCATCCCAAAATCCCCCAAATCCCCCTGTACCTTGTGGTCCCCAAAATCCCCCAATTTCCCCCCAAAATCCCCCAAA